CTGTTTCCGATTCTGTGTCTCCCTCTCTCTCTGCCCCTCCCCCGTTCATGCTCTGTCTCTTTCTGTCCCAAAAATAAATAAAACGTTGAAAAAAAAAAAAATTTAAATGTGCACTTTTATCCCTCCCGCACATTCTCTGAGGACCCACCCCTTCCTCCTTGCCTGTCGTCGGGATTGATAACTGTATCCAGTGAAAATTTGTATTGGAATCCGGAGCATCCGCCTCCCTCCACCTCCAGCCTGAGGAATTCTGACCCTTCGGTGATTTCCAGAAGCCTCTGAAATGCAGGAAGGGGGATCAAGAATGCCAGGCAAGGGGAGGAACAAGGGTGAGCCAAGGGCAAGTCCCCGCACTCCTGACACCCTGGCGCCGCCGCCCCGAGTCCGACCTCCTACCTGGACGCAGCTGTCGGTCAGGTGGATCTGTCCTTCTCCGGCCTCGGAGCTGGAGGACGACGCTTCCCGACGAGCCTGAGGTCCGCAAGAGGCCGCGAGGAGCCTATTGCGCAAGGGAGGAGGATGAGCCTGGAGCAGATGGGCACCTGGTGACCTGCACCTGGACAGCCTCACGCCAAACCTGACGACCTCCACCTGGACAGCCTCACCCTCGCCTCCCCCGCAGGCCTTGGCTTCCCCCTTAGTCCTGGAGGCGCAGAAACTAACACCCTTCCCAGGTGCCTTTGTAGCCTTGGTACCTGCCCCTTGCCCAGGGAGTGACCACCCTCAGCGCCACGGCCATTAGCGATAACCCACGGGCGGCCGCCATCTTCCTCCACAAACTCCGCCCCTCGCGTCACCCCAATCGCCTTCTCCATCTGGGCCTCCGGAGACGGGACCCACGGAGACCCCGCCTCCGAGCACACCCATTGGGTGGTGGTGGAGGAGAAGGGATTTGATTGGCTAAATGCCCCATTACGGAAGCTGGGGTGCACCAACAAAACCTGGGCGGAGCGCCGGAGGGAGGAGCGGAACGGGGCGGAGATGGATTCTAGCCTACCCGGTGGCGGAGCGGACAAGGTGGGCGGAGATAGCGGGCATCTAGGCGGGACCGAGCCGAGCTCGGCAATCTGGAGCGGGCGGGGCGGAGCGCGGGCGGGCCCGGCCCTGGTTGCTGGTGAGAGTCGCCTGACCTGGCTCCTCCCCAGGCCCGCCCGGGCAGGTTTATCTTGTGACTGAGGCGGTCGCTTCTTCCTTCTTCGTGCTTGGAACCTGTTCAGCTGCGATGCGTTCCCTGGCCGTCGCGTTCGTGCTCCTGGCGCTCAGCGCCTCCGCCCTCGCCGAGCCAGTGATTTTCAAGGACTGCGGTGAGCCGGAGCCGGCCCGAGATTCCCGCGCCCTCTGCGGGAGCCCCCACCCGAACTCCGCGCCGAGACCCCCGGCTGGGTTGGGCGGGTCCCGCGGGCGGCCAGGTTCAGCCTCGGACCCCACGTGGAGTGGGCTGGGGTTGGGGAGAAGGTGCGGGGGGCGAAACCCAATGGCTCACAACTTCGCCTCTTCCTGGGACGCGTTTTGGGGGTCCCTGGACATTAACTGGAGCTGGGCCTTTTGCAGAAGTTTTCTGAAGTTTGTAGCACAGACAACTAACTGAAGGTTCCAATGATGCGCGGGACGTGAGGGGCACAGAACTTTGTATGTCTGCTTTGTGTCTTTGGATGACCTCTCCCTCCCTACTCCGTTTGCTTTTATTTTTAATTTCCCTTTTGCTGACAAGTCAAAAGTCAATTCTGCTTTTCATGATTTATTCCGTTACCGCTTCCTTTGTGCTATATAATTGGGTGATTCTTAATCACTGTCTCCTCCTATCTATAAAGCTCGTGTTGCTGTGACACAGCTTGTGACACATAACCCGTCTTGGCGCTGTGGTAGGGATCTTTGTTGGGAAGTACAGCGGGGCTTGTAGGAAATTGTGAGTTCTTTCGTTCAGCCAAGTCTATAGAATTAACTATTCTAGCAGAACGTTTTCTGACGTGGAAAGGTGTAGTGATAAATGAAAGAAGACAAAATTTGTGAGCTGGAAGGAAACTTCAAATTGTGTGTGCCCCTCCCCCTCCCCGGCTCACGCTTTGTCTTCCTCTAAAAAATAAACATTAAAAAAAAAAAACTTTTTAAAGCAAAAGTAGATGAGAGAATAAATACTCCTTCCACTATGTCATCAGTTCATTTTGAGGCAAAAGCAGAGTTAGGCTAGGGGACAGGATTGGTTAAGGAATAAGACTGCTGGTCTATTAATACTTAGCAAATGCTGTTCCACTAAACTAGTGGCACTTGAAAGATCCTATTATCACCTCAAATTACTGCCTATCCCTCCATTAAACTTAGTGGCCAAATTTGGACAAAGACACTATCAACTCATCCAGCCCTCAGGATCTGTTTTACAGATAGGAAATAGGCACATGGAGTAACTTACCCAAGTTCGTTCTCTCTCTCTCTCTCTCTCTCTCTCTCTCTCTCTCTCTCTCTCTTTTTAATGTTTATTTATTTTTGAGAAAGAGCAAGCTGGGGAGGAGAAGAGAGAGGAAGACAGCACCCTAAGCAGGTTCCAGGCTCTGAGCTGTCAGCACAAAGCCCAACTTGGGGCTCGAACTCTTAAACCATGAGATCATGATCTAAGCCGATGGCGGACACTTAACCACTGAGCCACCCACATGCCCCAAACCCAAGTCTCACAGCTAGTTCGTGGTAGGAAATTAGTGGGTGTCTGTGAACCACCTTGAGTTTCAGTGGTAACATTAACATTAAAAAAAGGGGGGGGGATGCCTGGGTGGTTCAGGTGGTTAAGCGCATGACTGCAGCTCAGGTCATGACCTCACACTCCTTGATTTTGAGGGAGCGCCTCATCGCCCCTCTCTCTTCTCTCTGCCCCTCCCCCACAAGTGCACATTCTCTCTCTCTCTCTCTCTCAAAAATAAACATCAGAAAAAAAAAAAAAAAAAAAAAAAAAAAAAAAAGACCAAGGAAACCAAATCCAGATATACACCTATGGCAAGTGCTTCTTAAGGAAGGGAGGGTTTCAGTTACAGATTTTCAATTTACTTTTGAATTGGGAAGTAACAATGTAAACTTCAGTGCCCACATCAAAAGATTTTTGAGTTCCACTCTCTATGACCCCTTTCCCTGGGAGAAGTATTTCCTCAAGTAAGAAATGGGGCCAAGCAAACTGGTTTTGCTATTTTTGCCAGTTAGGACTGAGGAGTTCTGTTGACATTGGAAGTCCAAGAACCTCTTGTCAGTAAAACTCAAGGAGCTACAAGTACTAATCACGTGACCCAGCCTTGAGAGAAGCACGTTGAAGCAGACGTTGAAAGCTTTAGCATAAGCACTGATTTTCTTTTTTCTTTTTTTTTTTTAATGTATATTTTGTTTTTTGAGACAGAGACAGAGCATGAATGGGGGAGGGTCAGAGAGAGAGGGAGACACAGAATCTGAAGCAGGCTCCAGGCTCTGAGCTGTCAGCACAGAGCCCGACACGGGGCTCGAACTCCCGGACCGCGAGATCATGACCTGAGCCGAAGTCGGACGCTCAACCGACTGAGCCACCCAGGCGCCCCATAAGCACTGATTTTCAATAGGTTGTTGATTAAAGTTCTGGATATTTTTTCCCTGTCTATCGGAGGACAGAGTAGAAGACAGTGCTTAAAGAAGAGAATTCTCGCGTGTGTATTTCGAAAACCTTGGAACCTTGCAATGACGGAGAAGCAAGCAGGGGGCTGAGGGACTGCAAGTTATTACTCACAGACTTAGCTGGAGGAGTGCTGGTCAGTAGGATGAAACCGTTCACCCAAGAGCAGGCACAGGCTGGGAAAGCCAAGTGTGTCTACATGAGCTTCTCATTTCATAGCCCATGGGCTGAGCCAACCTGATGACTGCAGAGGAGAGGCCCAGCTTTTGTGTGAAAAGGGGACTTACTAACCCACCCACAGCAACTATTCTAGATTAAATTCATGGACTGAATCCCGATGTGATGATAATAAAGTAAACATTTATATAGCATTACCATGTTGCAAAGACTTACCTGAGACCTTTCTGTGTGTTCACTCACCTACCCTATGAGGCAGTTACTGTTGTTATCCCCAGAGGGGTGAAGTGCCTTGTTTTGAGGTTTCACCGTGAGTAAGGGAGCCAGTGAGATTGCAAACCCAGGCGCCCGGTCCCAGAGCCTACCTCAGCAGTGATGGCTGAATGGCAGAGCCATTGCTATAAGCGGTGTTACCAGGCAGTTTGCTTGCATTCTCTCGATTCGGCTGTCCAGTTTCAGGGACCCGGATGCGGCAATGAGATTCTTAAAGACTTTACTTAACCTGTTTAGGTCAAGCATTTCTTGGGAACAAACAGCACTTTTGTCTTTGTTTGGACTGAGCTTTTTACAAAAAGACACACACCCTGTCTCAGAGACACTTATCTTGAAGAACACGTTTCTAAAGTGGAGTGTCCAACTGTATACTGTGGATGCGTTCTTAAAATCGTTTTCACTGGTAGGGGTGTACAAAGCTCGGAGATCACTGATTTGGATCCGTACCGGGACAGGATTGGAAGAAAGGATGGGGGGCGGGGGCAGCTCAGAAGCAGCCAGGCTCAAGAGTCCAAGTGGAAACAGCACCGAAGCTTTGAGCCATCACTTGCGCCATATGTATGCTGCTTTAAATCCTACCTGGGGATGGAAGGAGGGGTGGAGATGACTTGCCCTGGCATAGTCCTTCCTGCCAGGATACGGAGCAGGGAAGCTGCCTTTATATACTTAACTCATTTTCTTAATTCCCCTTCACCCATCAAATAATAGGAAGAGTTTCCTGACGAGCAGAGCACCTTTCCATTAGGTAGGAAATAGCACAGGTGGTTTACCTTGCCTCCTATTCCAATTCATGTTTCTTTTTTTTCACAGGTTCTGGGTTTGGAGTTATAAAGGAGCTGAATGTGAGCCCATGCCCCACCCAGCCCTGCAAATTGCACAAAGGCCAGTCTTACAGTGTCAATGTCACCTTCACCAGTAGTAAGTAAAAGTGGCTCTTGACTTCCAATTCATCATAAAGCAGAACATCAGTCTCAAATGTTGGAATCAGTACAGGGATATGGGGGAAGGAATTGCAGTCAGGAAGTCTGTGACCTCCCTTCCAACTTCTGCAAAGCTCAGACTTCCCCTCTGTAAGGTTGAGGGAATTCATTTGGGACCCAAGGAAAAAAAATCTGAGCTTCCTTCCTCAACGTAAAGAAATATTATTGGAACTTGTTGCTTTCTGGTACCACATTTATCACCTTCAGCTTCCCAGGAATCTAGACAAATGCAAAATCTTTATTTCCACAAGGGGTATCAACCTTGAATCCTTTACTCGTTTTCTATCCTATGGAACTAGATGTGGCAGTCTAATAAGAAATGTCAAAGTTCCTGTCATCTCCTTCTTTTAAGCCTGAAGACAGCATTAAATACTAGAGTTGTTTTCTCTCCTGGATGATACCCTGCCCCTCTATTGTCCCAAACCAAAAATGTACCTTCTTTTTTTTTTCTTTTTAGATTTTTTT